ATGCTGAAGGATGTTGGAGGAGGCTGGAGGAGGCTGGAGGAGGCTGGAGGAGGCTGGAGGAGGCTGGAGGAGGCTGGAGGAGGCTGGAGGAGGCTGGAGGAGGCTGGAGGAGGCTGTGGAGGCTGGAGGCAGCTGGAGGCGACCGCCGAAAGAGGCTAGTGAAGGCTAGTGGGGCTAGTGGAGGCTGAAGGCGGCTGAAGGCGGGTGAAGGCGCCTGGTCCGCTGACTCATCAGGGCCCAATCGAAAGGAGGAGCAGGACGGAAGGGAAGGCGGGAGCGAGGGCGGGAGCTCCTCCTCTCCGAGCGTCCCGGATTAGTCATCGCTGACCGCAATTTGTTGCTGCTCCGAGGGCAAAAGGGACGGGCAAATTATTAAAGAGCACAACACACGCCCGCGCGGCCAAGTTTACGACGACAAGGAGGAGGAGCAGGCGCGGCCGCGGAGGAGAGCGTCGTGGCCCGCGCCCTCGTCCTGCGGGACCCTTCTCATCAGAAGCGTGGTCCTGGACCAGGTGAGCAAACTCGTCGTATTTCACTGCGCGCGGCGTGGTGGTTTTGAAGGGTGGATCTTTCTCTGTCTCTGCCCCCCCCCCCTCCCCCATCTTCCCTTTTCCCCCCGCCGCTGGCTTCTGCTCCGGTCAGTGGTTATTTATGTCCCTGAGGCCCCTGGAAGCCCCCTTGCTGCAGGAACAATGCCATAAGGTGCGCGCGCGCGCTCCAGGACAAGCACCGACGACGGGAGCAATTTGCGAAGCAGCCGCAGCGGCAGGAGCAGCAAGCCCTGGCCCATGCATCCCCAGGTGCCCGACGCAGCTGTGAGCTGTGGGAGCGCCCGCGGCGGCGGCCGCAGCTGCACACCTGCCGGACCCGCAGGTCAGCGCGAAGGCGATATCGGAATGCGCGCGAGCGGCACCACCACGTGGTTCCCACGTGGGAGCGGGGGCGCTGAGCTCCGCGCGGAGCTCACCGGATGAGCAGCTCATCACCCTCGCCATTATCTTTCTCCCCCGGCCCCGGCCGGGCGGATGGATCGGGAGTAATAATGTCACTCGGTGATTCCCTATCCGGATCCCGACACACAAGATTGCCTTCCGCGCGCTGGCGCGCAGCTACTGGGAGGAGCAGCGGGAGCGCGGCCGGTAGCGGCATGAGAGGTCAGGCGGGTGGTACAAGAGGGGGTGGGGGGTCAGCGGTAGCGAGTGGTCACCCACCTCGCGGGGAAGGTATAGTGAGAGGGGGGAGGGGGAGGAGCAGCTGATGAATCATGAGCGTGGAATGGAATGAGACGGTAGCATACCAAATTAAACGCTCGTATGAGCTCCCGTCCGAGTGAGGCCGGCTTGTAATATCGGGCCGCGCAAACAGAGCGGTGCCCGGCAGCGCTGCGGTGTACCGAGCCGGGGCAGAATAAAGTGGAATCAGCGTGAGAGCTGCGGGAGGGGGAGGAAGGGGGGCGGTGGCGCCCGGCCAAGAGAGGCCCGAGCGCGAGCAAAGGCGTTTCCCTTCGGATTAGCTGTCGTCAAACTTGAAGGGAAATGCGGCGCGGGCTCTCGCGGGCGGGCTGCGGCGGGCCGTGGGCCCTGCATCTCTCGACCCGTAATCAAAAAGAGCTTACGCTGAGGAGCCCGGTGCGCGGCCGTGGCGCGCCGCTCGACTTCGTTTGGCGACAGCGGGGGGCCGCGGCCCGGGCGGCGGGGCATCGGGAAGGCACGGAGAGGTGCGTTGCACTTGGCGAAACTTGACGAGCTCCCGGCCCGCGCGGGACCACGACGTACTGTACAGCTTTGCGGCCTCCAGGGCGAGGCGAAGCGCGGCCCCGCGGCGTGCGGCTGTGGCCGTCCGACGGCCGGGCCCCGCTCGCTTCGCTAGGCTCCGCGCCAAGCTGTTCCACCCCTGCCCCGCCCCCCGCGGCCCTAAACCGTTTGTCGTGCGCCTCGCAAATTTTAAAGTTGGAAGTGCTGTCCTCCTCGCCTTGCGGCCGGGGCCGCTCTTGCAAGCCGCCGCCGCCGCAAGGCGGCAGTTTCTTCCAGATTAATATGCGGTTCGTCTCGAGGCGTGGCGTGGCGGGGCGTGGCGGGGCGTGGCGGGGCGCGGCGCCGAGGGACACGGGGCCCCAGCTGTCGCAGCGTCACGGGGCGCGGCGCGGCGGCGCGCTGTCAGCGCCTCGGAGAGCTCTCAACCTGTGGTCTCATTAATGAGCCGAGGAGGAGGAGGAGGAGGAGGAGGAGGAGGGGAGGGGGGGGGGAGGAGGAAAAGAAGCGCAAAAAGAGCGCGAGGAAGGGAAGGGGGCACCTGTGGAGCCGCACTTGAGGACATGCATCATATCGGTAGAGCTAATTTCCCCTGCAGAGGGCGGCGCCCCCCAGGAGGCGGGGCGCGCAGGGTGCTCGCGGGGTGTGACTGCACCCGAGGTGCGTGCCTACCTCCCGGGCGGCGGCGGCGCTGCTGGGGAGCAGCAGCAGATCCCCGGCACGTCATGTCTCTAATTGCCCTCTGATGGGGCTAATCGCGGTATCAGGCCGCCGCCACCCCGGGCTGCATCCACATCTGTCTCCAGCGCACACGCCCATTAAGACGGTGGGGTCTGCTGGCGGAGCACAGCCCGGCGCCGGGGCGCGCGGGGGCGCCCGTTGGGAGGACGGGGTGCGCGGCAGGTGGGGCGGGGCCGGGGCACACTCCAGGGCAGGCACGGCGGGACCGGCGGGACCGGCGGGACATGCGTTCCGATCACATCGAAATCATTACAAGAGACAAGAGCCCGAGCAGGCGGTGCGATTGTCGGGGGTCGCCATGGGGCTTGCGGGTGGCGGGCGCGCACCGTCCGCGACAACCCCCCGCCCCCGCCGCCCCACCCCAAGGTACAGTGTCAGGTGCGGCGACGGCCGCAGGTTACGTTGCGGCAGGGAGTCGTCTTGCACGGGGTCCAGGAGGGGCACTGCGGCGGGCGCCGTGCGTGGAGTCGTGATCCGGACGTCGACGGCCACGTGACCTGCGTAGCGCGAGCTCGGCGCCATGGGCCAGTCACTGTGAGTGTGGCATTTTACACATTGCTGAAGAATAAAATAAATTAAACTGCTGTAGTGCATACATTGCATACATTTTTGGGGGCTATGATGAGGATACGTGTACTTACTTGTTCAATGGAAGAGACGAAAAACAAAATATATACGAGATTTGTTTCACATTGTCTTGCTAGGTAAAGGCCAGCAAATCCTCAGCCTTGATTGAGAGTGACCTCTCTGTTGCGTAGAAGGCGTCCCGAGTCCCAGCCCCAGCCGGCAGACGTCGCGGACGAGGCCGTCGCCCTGGCCGCCCAGCAGGGGCACCTCCTGGCGCCCACGGCGGCCACCACGAGGAGGACGCAGGGGGACTCGGCCCCGCGCCGACGGGGCGCCGTCAGGGACAATCCGACCGAATGGGTACGCCACACAGCTGGTAGGGTGGCGTGCGAGTTCCTGCATTTGACAAGTAACGTTACCGAGCGTTACCATACAGTCTCAAAATGTATTTACACTGAGCTCAAGATCAGTGCGATAGAAAAAGTATCAAAATTGTCTCTCAATGGTTGCGTGTGGCTTCAGGTCTCGTGGTTGGATATGTCCGATATTTGTAGACGATCATGTCGAGCGATATGATCCGATCCCCGTCCTGTTCGCAGCCGAGGTCCTCTAGCACCACGCCTCCATGTTGGAGGAGGCTGGAGGAGGGATCCCCGTCCTGTTCGCAGCCGAGGTCCTCTAGCACCACGCCTCCAACTCCGCCACCGCTTCCGCCACCCCGCCGTCTTCGGAACCGTTCCCGGTCCCGGTCGCCGTTGAGCCCCCAAGGCGACCCGCAAGGCCCCGACTCCCGCGTCGTGGCCGCTTACTACTCGGCGGCGGTGGCCTGCTCCAGCTGCCAGAAGGCCTCCATGACTCCGGTGGTAGGTACCCGCCGAGGCCTCGGTCCAGGCCCCCGCTGACTCGACCGACGCGGTGGCTCGCCCCGCCCGCTTCCGTAGGTAGGCTGTGCCACGTGCACGCGTGCGGGCGAGTTGCCTGCCTGCTACAGTACTCGATGTGCCACAGCCCTCGCCGACGGCCATGACCAGCGGCACCGGCGCGGCCCGCCCAGAGCTCTACGCGCCCCCGTCGGACTCGGACTACAGCTCAGCCGGGAGCACCGCCACCACGCCCCCCTCCAAGGGAATCGTGTTCCCCCGTCCGGGATCGCCAGAGACGAGCGAAAGCGAGGTACAGTCGCTGCTCAAGAGCCTGCAGTCGTTGGAGGGCGCAGCAGACGGCGGGGAACCATCACCACCCCTGCAGAGGAAGCTCCCAGATGCACAGTCCACACTGACGGGGGTGGTCGGTGAGGTGGAGTCCCTGCATCAGCCAAAGCCGGCCTCGCCAGAGGGGAGTGTCACCGACGGGATAGAGTCCCCCAACAACGACAGCGTGTCCTCGCCGCAGTCCCTGGAACGGGCACCCTCCCCCGGGCCAGTGAGCCTGTCGTCCTCAGAGGTGTCCTCCGAGAGACGCGCCCAGGTGACCAGCCTGGCGCCCTCCGAGACGGAGCCCTCGCCGCTGATCACCAGCCCGCCGCAGCGGGACAGCACGCCGCTCTCGTCCTTGTCCGAACAGTCGCCGGCGCGGCTGGCGTCAGAGAGCGGCGACGCCCGGCAGAGCGACAGCAAGGCCTCGGAGGAAGACATCGACGTGGGTATCATGATCGCCCCCTCCGCCTTCGACGGCTTCTTCTTCGGGGTACGCGACGACGGCAAGGACAAGACCGACTACTTCGAGCAGGTGCGGCAGCGCACGCTGCAGTCCTTTGACGTGGCCCGCACCCCTGGGGAGGGCAGCCAGGACGGCGATCGGCCTGCAGTTGAGGACCTGGCCGTCGAAGCGGATGTCGTCGACAAGGAGGAGGTCGCTGATGACGTCTACACGGATACAGTCATCAATAAGATCACCAACAAGGATACAGTCACCTGTGACGCCATCGAGCTCGGCGGTGAGGAGGTCGGCGAGGAGGGCGGTGAGGAGGGCGGTGAGGATGTCGGTGCGGAGGTCGGTGCGGAGGTCGGTGCGGAGGTCGGTGCGGAGGTCGGTGCGGAGGTCGGTGCGGAGGTCTGTGAGGAAGTCGGTGAGGAGCCCGAACAAGACCGGGAATACAGCGAGCCCGCAGGGGCCGTTGGCGTCGCACAGAGTCCACCGAGTCCTCCCGCCGCTCAAAGCGACCTGGCACAGAGAGACGCAGGTGAAGAGTCGAACAATGAGTTCGACGTGTCCTCTGGACGAACGGAAATCTCAGACGAGTACAGCGTGGATGTCGATGTTACCTCAAGACAAACGGAGTTCTCCGTCGCTCTAGAGCCAGACGACCGGATCAATGAGAACGACAACGCGACCACCGCACCTCGTATCACAGACTACAGTTCTGAAAGTGCTGCTCGCTGTTCCGACATGGAACTCATGGAGATAGCTAGGACCAGCATGGCCCTGACGGCGGCGAGCAGCAGTGTTCCGGACTCAGAGAGCATCCAGCTGATCGACCAGGTCGCCGTCGACGAGGAGGACGAGGAGCCAGACACGACAGAGGGCGCTGGCGACGACAGCCTAGTAGGCTGTGACATGGACCTCAAGCACGTAACCGGCGTCCTGTTCGACCCCACTCCGCGGCCGCCACAGACCCCGCCGGACCCGCTGCCCAGCATGGCGCTCACCAAGGGCGGCTCGCTGCCCGCCGCGGCCGCGACCTCCGCGGCTGACGAGGGCCGCCCCCAGGGGCCCCAGGGCCGCGCGGATAGGAAGCTCGCGGGTTTTGGAGGCTTCCCGTTCAAGGCCAGGCGTCGTCAGGACAAGGCGCAGCGCTCCGCCACAGCCAGCGCCTTCATCCCCTGCCCGGAGCCCGCTCGCGCACCCGCACCGCCCAGAGATGACGTGCCCCCCACGACCAGCAGCACTACCACCCGGAGGCTGAGCGTCGACCTCAAGGTGGCCGACGTCAAGCAGGTGGAGTCGGCAGGGGCGTCGTCGCGCACCTCCACCTCCACTCACCGCATCCTGAGCGACGTGCTGCAGGGCATCAGGCAGGTCATCCTGCCCGGTAAGTCTGGCCGGCGCAGCATCATGAAGCGTCCCCGCAGCGGCCACCGCCTGCTATCCAGGAAGGCGCCGGCCGAGAAGCAACGGGAGGCCGACGCTGAGGACGAGCAGGCACCCGCCGAGGACAGCTCCACCGCCGCCGCCGCTGCCGCCGATGAACAGACCTCGGTCATCGGCGTCCCAGGAGAAGACGAGGCGTGCAGCACGGCCACCGTCGCGTCGTCGCCCAGGGACGCCCGGTCCGAGCATCCTTCGCGGACCTCGTCCGACGACAAAAATGCGTCTGCCGGGGTTAAAAAAAATCATGTTGAACCTTCGCCAGTCACAGATGTACCAAGTAAGCTAAGATACCCGGCCTCAACGCGATCCAACATAAGTAGAAGTAATTGCGAAGAAATCAGTGAAACTCATTCCAGGACCTCGAGGTCGTCCATTGCCCCACCGAGAACAAACTTTTTGACCGACAATGTGCTGAAATCCCTCGCACGCTCCTCCAGCATCAAGTACATAGACTCGACTCTGCGCTCGACCCAACGAATTTCCGGAAAGACGCCCGAAAGGTACCGCAACGTCCCGCTCCCAATCACCAAACCCGAGTCCAGCAAAGCAAACACACCCACGGCCTCGCAGTGCAGCTCCCCGCGGTCCCGAGGGTCGAGGAAAGGTTTCAAGCTGCGCAAACGCATCAAGATCTCGGAGACTGCAATCTGCAACAACAACAGCGGTGCGCTCAACTGCCTCACCGACCACAAGGAGAACAACAAGTACTACGTGTACACGGTGAACGACGACAAGGCCACCGAGCTGAGGCTGTCCGAGATGTTCGTCCTGCAAGAGGAACCGATCATGGCGGAGGAAGTGCCACAGATTCAGGAGCCCGTCGAACCAGTGCAGTCAAAAGCGAAGGCCAAGAAGGGGGGGAACAAGAAGGAAGGCAAAGCAGCCAAAGCGCCGAAAGCCAAGTCCAAGCAGGGGGGGCCGTCGACGGCCGGGAAGATCCTCCGAAAGAAGTCGTTGACGCGTCCCGCCTCACTGCTGCGGTCCCGGCGCAGCGGGGAGAGGCTTCGGGGAAGCAAGACCAGCGCGAGGGCGTCCAAGGCGGCGCTGGACAAGAAGGCCTCGAGCGCACTCAGCATCAAGAATCGTCAGACAGAGGTCCTCAAGCGCTTGCGGCCGTTCAGTCCGTCGGACGGTGTCGTCGAGATCGTGTCGGACGCCAGTAAGTGCAGGTCGATCGAGCAGAGCGACACGGCGACGCAGCTTCGCGGGGAGTTCACGCCACGCGTCTGCGCCGACGTCCGCGACTCGTGCACGGGGGACACCTCGTCCGTCGTGAGCGCGGCCGTGAGCCGAGGCCATTCCCAGCTGCACTCGCTGGTGCCCTCGTCGGTGCAGAGCCGGGAGAGCTGCGGCCCCCGCCGGACCTCGGGCTCGTCGCGGAGGGGGGCGCCCCGGTACAGGCCGACCCTGCGCACGCCCAGGATCACGTGCGTCGGCATGGGGGCGGGCAACGAGGTCGCGCTCGTGCAGCGGAACAACATGGAGGCGGGAGCCCTCGGTCGCGCCAGGATCCCGTTCAAGCACCCGGCGCACGGCGCCAAGGTGCCGCAGGCCGCACTTGCCCACCGGGAGCTCGCCGGCAAGGCGATCATGGCCAAGCCGCCGGCCCTGCCCGCCAAGAGCCATCCGCCCGCCTTCCCCGGGCTGCAGGAGATGACCGAGATGCTGTTCGAGTACTCGACGCTGGCCGCGGCGAAGGGCCGGTCCTTCGCCAACGTTCACTCCGAGCTAGTCAGCCTGTTCGAAGCCCCGACAAAGGCGTCCCTGCCCTCCAACGAGTCTCACGGCGTCATCTCCGACTCCGCGAACCCCAGCGCGGACCAGGTGCTGGTGCAGCTGCGCAGGATGGAGGTGGGCGGCAGTTCGCAGGCGACCAGCAGCGCGGGGGTCACGGAGGAGGAGGAGGAGGGGTCCAGTCAGCTCTCGGGAGCCCCGTCCTCCAAGCAGACGACAGAGCGCACCGAGGAGACGGACTCGTGCCAGACAGCGTCCGCAGCCTCCTCCAAGCAGTACACAGAGACTGCGCAGCGGAGTGGCTTCAATATCCGCAGCGTCGACACGGAGGCCCAGGTGGCCGCGGCCCTGCAAGAGATCATGAACTCGATAACCGAGCTCCGATGCACGGACACGGACGGGGTGCTGGGGCCATCCGCGGAGGTGCTGGCCCCCGGGACGCAGGAGACAAAAGACAGCGCGAAAGTAGACGACGCCATGGCCCCGCGGAGAGCAGGGAGAGAGACGGCGGGAAACGCCCATTTACATGGTTTGCGATACTTCCCTGCCAAAGGTCTGTCTACGTTTGACATTTTAGACACAATTCTAATTGAGGAGAGTCATTCAAGACTACAAAGTAAACAGCTCGATTCTAGTACGAGACCTGGTCTGAGTGTTAAGATTAACACATGGACATCAGACAACATACATGTTACGTCTAATAGTGTCCAAGCTACTGTATCCACTGCAAACGCCGTCTGCCAGCGTACAAGAATTAGCTCGCCAGAAGATGCGTCAGAAGAGAACCTGCCTAAACCTCACTTATGTGAGACTGATCAAAACTTAGTGGAAAACAGTAAGCTATTTGAGAAGAGGACAACACCAATAAAAATTGAAACAAACAAGGCACAAGGCTCTTCAACAGTTTGTGTTGAAAAACACAGCTATCCAAATAATTTTTGTATTGATACTATCGATATGTCTTCAGAGTACATCCCAAGATCACATAACGACACGATTGAAACAGAAAACTCAGTTCGGAGTAGGCACAGCCCCATACTGTTGCCATCTACTAGCTTTACTAAAACTAAGTCCAAACATGAAATGTCCACAATTACAACACACCATGGAATTTCAGCAACATCCATGTCTCAGGCGAAACTGACAGGGCCTCAGAGAGCACAAAAGAGAATTGCCTGCTTCCTGGGGGATGACATCCCTGGGACCATACTGGCTGTTTTAACAGAGGTAAATCTTCCGTTTTGAAAGTAAATAATTATTGAAAAAAGTAGAGTTGTTTCAATCTTGTCATTTTTTTTTCTGTTCAAAGGTGCTGCCCATATTTTTAGAGAGAACCAGGTCGGAGCTGCTGACTCCACGACAAAATCTCATTCAGAAATTACTGTACGAAGATTACTTCAACCATCCCGCCAACACCTCGGACGGCCTAAACGCGAGAGAAGACCCGCAGGTTCATTATAATTACTTACCTCTAGTATTCCAGCATGCTGGAGCATCCTGTCGTGGACGAGAAGCCGGGGGCCGGCTCAGGACGTCCGACCGACTGTGTTGCAGGCGCTGCTGCGGGTGGGCACGATGGCGCACCAGGTCGCCCTGCTCGTCGAGGACACGGCGCGCTCGACAGAGCTGGACATGCAGGCCGACCGCCGGCCGCCGTGACTCAGAGGTCGCCGTCCTGGAGTCTGCCGCCGGCTGGTCCGCCGCTGCACCGCGACACGAGTCACCTGTAACAACATATCTTGAGCTGTGATAACTTGTATTTAAACTATTGTTGCGAGCTGTCATTCGTTAAATGTACGCGTATATGTTCGTCGGCACGCACAAACTCTTGTGTACGTGGGGCAAAGTTTTTAATTCGTGGTATAACACCATTTACTTTAAGTAAAAAGTAGTAATATTAACGATATTTCGTCATTTTATAACCCTTTTTCCAGACAGCTCCGCCGGGTGGTCTCCAACGTGAACGACACAATGAATATACAAACACCGGAACAAAAACCTCCGGCCGCAGCAGGTTTTTGCCCCCCGTCAGTCAGCCAGGGCTCAGGCGGCCCGTACCGTCAGGTGTCGGTGCCGCCGGCCCCGCCGCGCCGCCCGGGACGCCCGATGTGAATTTATGACACTCGGCGTCGCGACGCTCCGCGCGCTTGCGCTGGACGCTTCTCTCACATACAATGTATGCTTTTATAGGCCGAGGCGCGCGGGCGCGAGGCGCGTCAAAATCCTAACGCCGTTTATTGCACTGCCGCTTTTGCCCACATAGTTGTTCTACTACACCCTTGGTCGGAGTACATGCAGGTGATGCGGCGGCGGTGGCGGCTGCAAAGCGAGCGCGTGCCGCGAGCAGCGAGCAGCGCAACAGGCTCCGTATATCCTTTTTATTCCGATTATTATATACTTTTATCGCGCATGATTTCGCTGCGCCGGGCTTAAGAAAGACCCCCCCCCCCCTGAAACGGCAGCATTACCATGGGGTTGCTCTCTCTCTCTCTCTCTCGCACAGTTTTGCACCCCCTGCCTTCAGCTAGGCCGGCCACGCGTCATTTCCCGCCAGCCTCCGCGAATGTTTCGAGGCCACCGTATCTCGGCGCCCGCGCAAGCAGAGTTACGTGCCTCCTGCCGCGGGCACCCCGGCAGCTTCCTTCCTGCCTGACCAATGGCCGGACATCCATCATGCCACCGACCACACCCCTAAACGGATTCTATTATCTCCGATCGCCGTGTTCCTTGGGATCTGCCGCTCCGCCCCGCCCCGCCCCGCGATCGGCCACCCCGCCCCTCCGAGGCCGCGCCGCGCTGCTCACCCCTCGCCCGCGCAGCTTCCACCCGCAGCACTCCGTCTCTGTCTGCTTTACATACCGCCTCGGACGCCCGCCCCGGAGGAGGAGGAGGGGTCCAGTCAGCTCTCGGGAGCCCCGTCCTCCAAGCAGACGACAGAGCGCACCGAGGAGACGGACTCGTGCCAGACAGCG